TGATCAAAACTAACGCGATATTCGTGATCAGCACCCCGGAAAACCACATAGCAGCCACAATTTACGACTTTCTAACAGGTCCCGATTTTCCCGGTTTTCGGGTCATTGACCTGACCTGGAAGGTCACCCGATGACCTAGGACCTTAAAATTGGGTATCATCGGCTTCGTCTCGTGACGGGCAGCACGCTCGTTTTTTCCGCGAAGCTCTAGCTCGATCAAGGGCCAAACGCGAGGGCCCCCCCTTACCCCCCTCCCCTTGTGCCAACCCCCCCCTCCCCTTGTGCCGTCGAAGGACGCAAAATGGCCTGTGCCGGCGAGGGTTAAGGTGTCCCCCCTCCCAATCTGAAAGTATTGTCCGCGCCCCTGTTGCCTTTGAACGTTTCTGTTTCGTGTTCCTACCGCGACGCGACATGACCTGCTCGCTTCAATCTACTGCTGCGTCCTCTTTTAACACCAAAGCTTCCGAACCTCGCTACCAGAGGCGCTGGCCGCTGCTACAACAGGCAAGCTCACAAGTCACAACTTCCACAGCTCCTGCCTCATCCAGAGAAATGCGCCACCCTGTCGACAGTCGAACTAAAACCTTTTCTCGTGTCCACTAGAGGCGCTGCAGTCGAGCCGTGCAGTGAAGCTCATCACGGTTGACGGTTCTGTGTGGTGGAAACTGGAAAGCCTCTGGACTTGCGCTCATTGGACCAAAAAAGTCATTTGGCAAAAAAAAAAATGACTACGGACTCAAATGTTTTACCTATGAGGTCAGTGCCCGGAGGAAGTTACACGTTGGAGCATGGACATGAACTTGACTAACGATATTTACGCGTCGCCAAACCTTTTGATATTTTTCATATCCAGGACGATATGGTTTTCCATGTACATATCGGCCGAGAGCTGGGGAGGAGAAATACCTACGACTCTCCCTGGCCCCTTCGCATTTCAGGTCACCCATTGACTTGTGAGGTTAGGGCGAAGTCCTGAAGTTCTCTGGGTAGGATTTTTTTTTTATTAAATAACTTCACCAAGCAAGAAAATGATGCAGAGTAACATTCTTTCCCACCATCGCGTTTGCTTGGCCAGCCGCGTCGGTTGACACACTTCTTGTTTGGGGAAAAGTCAGCTCAGATATTGATCTCTTTTTTTCAGGTCAGGTCAAAGCCTCTCACAATAGGACGTTGTTCGACTGAAGCAGGGCTCCGCCACCGGAGGGGTAGCGGGGGTCCGAACCCCCTAATATGTAATTTCACTTTCGTAATGCAGCCTAATGTATAAGGATGCGTATTTTTTGGTTGAACCGGCCCCCAAACCTCACACCGTAGGGGTCCCGCTCCCGTGCATGGTCCTGAAGGGTCCATACCCCTAGCTACGAGTATACAAAATAGTACGATTGAATTTTGTTCTTCATGAATATGATTATCTTTTCTGAAGCAAGGTTAGAATACCTTCCGTAATATTTGCCGCACATTATACATGTTACAGTGCGTCCGCGAAATTCGTGAGTTTGCGAAGTAACTAGTTAATCCGCGAAATCCCTAGGGACTCCGCGAACTCACATAAACTCTCGTGAATCCGCGGAATCACTGCCGTGGCTCCGCGGATTTACAAGAGTTTCCAGTGCGTTCGTGAAGTCACTGAAGAGTCGCGGGGATCTGCGAACTTCCTAGGTAATCCGCGGAATAGCGATTCTTTTTCAGTGAATCCGCGGAATACCGATTCTTTTTTTCAGAGAATGTCCAAAAAAACGTTATTTAGAGCTAATGCCGATTATTCGTAGAGGCTCAAAGACAATTGGAATTTGGAACCGAATCATGTTGCCGATATGGTGGTCGTGTTGTGCTTTGGCCGGCATGTCAATTAGGTACAATCAGTCTATCAGAATAAAAATGTCGGGACGTTTGGTAAGTTTTATGTTACATTGTTACGTAGGTACCCTAACTTTTTTGTAAATAGGTACTATTTTCTTAGATTATAAAAAAACTTGCTCGCAGCACTATTCCACTTAAACGTGGGTATTTGCTGTAAATAGTTATGTAACTATCTGAGTGGACCTCGACCTCGCAATTGCGCTAATTTCGCAATTTCGCAAAAGTCTAAGGTCATCATTTGACTTTCCAAGTCAGGTCAATGACTTAAAAAGTTGGAAAAATCGGGCCCTCTTAGAACTCCGTAAAGTGAGGATGTTACAGGGTATTTCGGGGTGCTGATCACGAATTTCATGCTAGTTTTTATCACAGACGATCGCTTCATGCAGATATGCCAGGTCGGGTTATGTTAGGTCATGTCAACCAATAGGCGTCCTGCTTGCTATTCATAGTAGGTGTCGACTACCATTGACAGCTTTGAAGAATGTTACGAAGGCGACAAAACTACTTAACGTAAATTTTCAAATAGCTGTTAAATTCGAAATCAGCTCAAAAAAACACTCTAGAAACAAATAAAACTCAAAAAGTGAACCAAGGTCATCAATGGTCATTTACCTTGAACTGACCTCAACGTGACCTTGTCGTCCACCATAATGCATTGCATCAACATCATTACACATGTGGCAACGTTTAAAGCCACAAAAAGACTAAAAACGTGCGGATAATGTAAGCTGACGTACGCCGATTCGCGATTCTGCCCAAACATTGTCTCAAGAAATAGGTCACAGGACAAAAGGTCAGTTTGGTTAGGGTCATGAAAATTTTAGGCTAGGTGTAAAATTGATGAACTCGAGGGTACCGAAAGTTTCGTCGTGATCAGCGCTGCTTTTTCGCGAGAAATTAGCGAAAAACCATGGGGTCCATCCGACTTGAGGTATGTGCCGTGTGTATACTGTATATTCACCGCATCAGGACCTCGGTAACGGACAGACGCAGCCTTCTTGAATAGTACTATAGACGGCTGAAGTCCGCTCCAATCATGTTAACTCGTATATATGACTGAAAAGAATCGGTATTTCGCGGATTCACTGAAAAAGAATCGCTAGTCCGCGGACTAACTAGGAAGTTCGCAGATCCCCGCGACTCTTCAGTGACTTCACGGATGCACTGAAAACTCTTGTAAATCCGCGAAGCCACGGCAGTGATTACGCGGATTCACGAGAGTTTACGTGACTCCGCGGAGCCCCTAGGATCGACCAGTGAATTTGCGAACTCACGGATTTCGCGGACACACTGTAACATACACAAACCTATTCATTTTGTCTATTCATAACATACCCGTATTTAGGAATCCAGCTCAAAACTTAATGGGCTGGTCTTATTGGTCCCAAACTTTGGTAGGGTGACTTTTAGTGTGATCGAACACTTGTGTAGACTGGTATGAGCGTTACTTTACTTATTCTGAGGATAAGTAACACAAATATTCTGAGGGTAGTTTCTTCCAGCGTTGGGCGCAGATGCCACCAGCAGTGCGTCATTAGCGCGGGTACGCTACATTTACATTTACGTCCGACCGCTGCATCTCAGGCTATTAGGACAACGATCCCACGAATAGCGACCCGTGGTCCCATTCCGGCGGTCACGACGGCACGTTTAACTGCCGTGTAATACCGGTCATCTGTGTTCATAGTCGGTACAGTTAGGTAATAGCGAGGGCAAGCAGGAAGTGGGAGCAAAGTAAATACCTATCCATCCATTGTATTTGTACGTGCGTGTGGGAGACCGACCCCAATTCATTGGTGTTCAAACAGCGAGGTCAAGAAACTTTCGTACTGAGTCGCATGAGCTTATCCATATCCAGGCTTCTAGTTTTGTTCAGACTTCAGCTATGAGATGGGCGCTCACTTTCTACAGAAATTGACTATTCATTGAGGTCTGCATGGTATGCACCGTCTGAGCGGTTGCTGACACAACTTATAGGTCGGATCTTGCACGATGTCTGCATGGTCTTGCAATGGGCATCACTTTAGAGTGTACACTGGTAGTGCCAGGGCTGTATTTTTTCGGAGAAGGGAGACTGTGTTGCGACTCTCCCGTTTGGCAATTTCAGGAGTTGTAAGAGATGAGCCGTCAGATCCGATGACTTATGGTATATGGTGTATGGTGTATGTATACATTCGTGTTGCCTTACCCACAGCATTTTTTCCAATTCTTAATAAAAGTCAAAACCATTTGTTTGGGAAAGCGTGGAAATAAAATATTATCTCGCCGCTACCTAACCTCATCTGTTTGCCCATCATTATGTTTTGCCCATCTCATCTATTTATATTCCTCCGGTTTTCTTTCTGCCCAATTTTGACCTCATATAACAGTCTTTTTCCTCTATCCTTGTTGACCGTTTCTCCCTGTCGGTCTGCATATCTGATATTCATATCTATGTTATTTATTTTTTTGTTCTCTATGTCTGTGTCTCTCATTATCTCTCCCTTACTCTCTCTCTCTCTCTCTCTCTCTCTCTCTCTCTCTCTCTCTCTCTCTCTCTCTCTCTCTCTCTCTCTCTCTCTCTCTCTCTCTCTCTCTCTCTCTCTCTCTCTCTCTCTCTCTCTCTCTCTCTCTCTCTCTCTCTCTCTCTCTCTCTCTCTCTCTCTCTCTCTCTCTCTCTCTCTCTCTCTCTCTCTCTCTCTCTCTCTCTCTCTCTCTCTCTCTCTCTCTCTCTCTCTCTCTCTCTCTCTCTCTCTCTCTCTCTCTCTCTCTCTCTCTCTCTCTCTCTCTCTCTCTCTCTCTCTCTCTCTCTCTCTCTCTCTCTCTCTCTCTCTCTCTCTCTCTCTCTCTCTCTCTCTCTCTCTCTCTCTCTCTCTCTCTCTCTCTCTCTCTCTCTCTCTCTCTCTCTCTCTCTCTCTCTCTCTCTCTCTCTCTCTCTCTCTCTCTCTCTCTCTCTCTCTCTCTCTCTCTCTCTCTCTCTCTCTCTCTCTCTCTCTCTCTCTCTCTCTCTCTCTCTCTCTCTCTCTCTCTCTCTCTCTCTCTCTCTCTCTCTCTCTCTCTCTCTCTCTCTCTCTCTCTCTCTCTCTCTCTCTCTCTCTCTCTCTCTCTCTCTCTCTCTCTCTCTCTCTCTCTCTCTCTCTCTCTCTCTCTCTCTCTCTCTCTCTCTCTCTCTCTCTCTGTAACTGGTTACTTTTTCCTCCTCATATTTAACTACCTTTTATCCTTTCCCATCCTCCTGCAGCCGTCCACCTGGATTGTTTCACCAGAGTCAGGTCAGGCTGCACGACTGAGCTGAGAGCTTCTCACTGTTTGATGGTACATACCTTATGATACCGAGTTCACTGCCCCGGTTCCTGTGACCTGTACCGTTGGGTGACCTCGTGTGACCCGCGGGGCCGTCAGACCAGCCCTAATAACGCCATGTCAGGCCTCGTTACGACCCATCGGCCGTAGTCGTGCATGACAAAGCTGGATAGCTGAGCTAATATACGGGGTGCCTGGGAGCGAAGCAGTGCTTCACTGTGAGCGGAGCGGGCCGGTCGGCTCGGCCGGCGCTTCGCTACGGACGAGGGCAGTCGGCGAGGAACAGCGAGGGAAGAAGTGTGTACCTGGTGTCTGCCGATAGACGAAGAGAGTCTCCCTGGCGCCTACGAAAGTCGTTTGACCGTCTATCCACGCTTCTGTGTTGACGTCTACCGAGAAACGCAGCTCGTCAGTAGACATTACACACATCCAGTGGCGAGTGTACTGTGTAGTGTCGGTGTTGCGTCGTCCACAGTGAGGTCGCCTGGTGTTGTGTTGGCTCAGTCGTGGTGTAACGCAGTGGCTGTTCGAGTGGAGTCCAGTGGCCAACAGCAGTGTCCGCTCCTGTGCGTCACCTGCTCGTCACACAAACAGTTGCGTGCGCGTCCGTCACGCCCGTGACTTCGAGCATTCCCATCACACCAGCCACCTGTCTATAATAACAAAATAATCTCTGATCTCCCATCCACGAGCCAATCAGAACGCACGCTCTCAGGAAGCGGGTCGCTGTCCCGCAGCCGTATCCACACGCATACGAGTCGATTTATTCACGGTGACGACAGGGGCCGGCGGCTGGGAACTCTCCCCGGGACTCAGCTGGGCCAGGTTGAGGGCGGTGCGGCGGCGCTTCCTGCGTCCCACAGTGACCGCCGTGGCCGGCCAGCCAGGCCGCTGCACTTTCACCGTCTCTCCCGGTCGAGCGCTGTCTCCACTGGCCGGCAGAATACTCGCGGAACTAGCGGCGCGAGCGGCGCGCGAGCCGACGTGCGAGCGCGAGTGGGGTGCGAGAGGTGCGCGTTTTGCTAGTCAGAGTGGATCGAAACTTTGTGGCAAATTACGAGATTTCCTTATGCTAAAAGCGTCATTTAGCTGCAGTTTGAATGCGTTGATCAGGATGAGACGGGTGCAGTGAAGTCAAAACGTCTACCGCAATCCGTTTTTTGTGGTCAGACAGTACGTGTGGCGCGCGGTCCGCGGTGGTTAGACAGTGATGGAGCCACTGACGGTGATCAGGAGGGCTGCTGCAGTCGCCACTCTTCTGACACTGGTAAGTTGGAGGAATACATTTGCTTATTGTAACTGTTTTATGCTAGCAATAATGCACTGGATCGTTTGTAATTCAGTTTTTTTTTTTTAATTGCACTGAATGGACAACTTTCATTAGTTATCAATTATGATCTTTATCGAGAACCAGTTCTGAGAAAAGTTTGTTGATGTTTGTTGCAGCCTGGTGTACCTTAAGCGTGGCAAAGTTGGCAGAGAACGTGGTTTATAAGTTTTTTTTTACATCACTGGCCATTATCCTCAAGTCCGCTCTTTCATCCATTGCCCTTACTCCACTGATCCACTCCGACTCTAATTGTTTATTTTACTGTTATTCACGATAAAAGTGTCTTTCCTTGCAACAATGATGAATGAGAATAACTCAGAGCTACCGTCTAGCTGGATCCTGCATGTCCGCTGCAGGAGCTATGCACATAATCACACAATCATAAACAGAGGCATCAAAACGCAAACAAAGACTGCCCTCTGATAGACCGCAGCCCTGACCTGGGACGGTGCCGCTGTTTTTCCTTAGCCTGGTCGCCAGGGAACGGCCTTTGTATCGTATTGCCACGCTCTTTTGCATCATGGCTTCTTTGCTGGCCGTTCTCGTTTTTATTTGCCATGCCGGTGATGAACTACCCCAGCTTTTGCACTGAAAAACCTCACCGCTGCCCCGAATCTGTGTGGTATTTCGTTGGTTTGCCATTTCTGTAATGTGCAGAGGAGTTGCCAAGAATCTAGAGCAATGTGATTGATCTCCTACAATGCGGTGATCATCCAGGCCACTGTTGAGTTTTTGCACAAGATTATTTGATGGAATACGACATACGAGGCAGCTTGTTTTTATAACGAGAAGAAAAACGCCATTGGGGCACATTGCTATTTTGTGGTTGACCTGGTATCCGAGTGCTGGAGCAATTATGTAGTGTAGCAACAGTGTCTTTTTCCGTGGAAACGCTATCGCCACGACTAAATTCTCATTGGTCTGATTGTACTCTTTCATATCCTATTGGCTGTCATCATATATTCTTCCTCTTTCCATATTCTGTCTGATTCTCATCACACACTTCCGGCCCTGTTTCTTTTCGTGTTTTTTTTTCCTGCCGTTTCCTTTCCATCCCTTGACCAGCGTCATTCTCATACCGTGATTGAGTTACGTGTCGTCACAGCTCGTGGCGCGTGAGATCTCGTTTTTGTCACGACTTCGTGGAAACTAGCGCCACCATCGCCGGACCAAACCTTACGCCACTTTTCCGATTAGTCCACAACAGTCACTCTGAAAATCAGCCCAACAATATAGAACGTCATCAACATGGCTAGAACTTACGCATAAGATATGCAGGAGCTTTGTAATTAATATGATCTAAAGTTTTTATTTTTTCAGCTAGAACACTTCTTGACCACCATAACTATATCTCTACATTTTAATTCTGAAACCCATTCACACCCGGACCAATATTATTGCCTCACCCGGATCCTACAAGGACCATATCCTCCTTTCCCAAGCATCCGCTTCAGGACCCTTTCCGGATTCCCAAGAACCCGACCGTTCCGTCCCACCCGGGCATATTTCGGAACTATTCGCGTGACGTAATATTAATGACGCTGCTCTGTGGGCTCATCATTGCTGCAGCGACCGACCCGGAGCCCTGACCGGTGACGTAACATTGTGACGTCACTCATGCGATGTCCAGTCATGCCCGCGGGCAGTTTGGGAGTTTCACAACGGTGGTGGCTAAACACGGGCCAGGTGCACCCTGTACCGATGGTACGGTAAAGGAAGTGTGTGTTTGGGAGAGGGAAAGATTGCGATGGTAGTTGGTAAACGCTGACATGTTTGTTGTGTCTCGTAAGAGACAGGGAGATGTATGACGTCGGGAATAGTCGGACGTCGGAGACAAGCCGGCTTGTTTCCAAATTTATGCGCTTCTTACTGTGCTTGAATATTTTATGTATTTCGGATAAATTGCAGTCTCTCTTTCTCTATCTCCCTCCCTCCCTTTCTCTCTCTCTCTCTCTCTCTCTCTCTCTCTCTCTCTCTCTCTCTCTCTCTCTCTCTCTCTCTCTCTCTCTCTCTCTCTCTCTCTCTCTCTCTCTCTCTCTCTCTCCCTTCTCCATTTCTTGTCACCCATCTCTGACCACTGCCTCTACCCACAGCTCTTCTCGTCCTGCCATTCAAACGACGTCCGTGACCGGGCCATCGACTTCTTCAGCCTGCTGAAGAACCATCTTCTTCCACAACAGCCGACGGAGCCGGACCCCAGTGCCAGCAGCGCTCAGCACACGGAGGTCCGTGGTAACTGTCTTCACGAATACTACGCCGTGCAGCCGGGCGTTCCACTGACACTGACCTCCACCAACTACCCGGGTCCGTACCCGCCCAACGAGTGCAGGAAGCTGGTACTGACGCCGACTGACGCCTACACCTCCGTGGTGATGGTCTGCACAGATGTGGACACGTTCGGGACGGGTGTGCTCGGTCGGGTGACCGGGGACATGCTGGAGTTCCCCGGTGCGGTGGTAAACAGGAAGGTTCATACCGTGTATGGCGTGGATGTGACGCAGTGTGCGGCGGTACCGTTCACCAGGCGCGCGGCGCCCGGACAGGCGCTCAAGATGGGTTTCTTCTCGGACGACTTTGTGCAGCGGCGCGGGTTTTCGTGCCAGGTGTGGGGTGCGGCGGTGCAGAGGCCGCCGCAGGGTCTGGTGGAGTATGAGTCCGGTCCGAGCGGGTCGGAGGGAACGATAGGACCACAGCAACATCAACAACATCAGCAGCAGGGATCGCAGAACAACTTCCAGCCACAGGGAGTACAGCACCAGCAACAGCAGCAGTTTCAGCCCCAGCAGTTCCAGCCGAGTCAGCAGCATCAGTTCCAGCAACAAGAGTTTCAACCTCAGGAACAGTTCCAACAGCCATTCCAGCAGCAGCAGTTCCAACAGCAAGAGTTTCAGGAGCAGTTTCAGCCCCAGCCAGATCAGCAGGAGTTCAAGGAGCAGGCGCAGCGACCTGTCGATACACAGTCCCTTATCACCGGCGGCTTTCAGCAGGTCCTTCCACTGCTTAACATCCCCGGCTACCGTCGTCCGACCCCGGGCGGTGGTAACGCCCCTGCGCCTCCGCGACGTCCCAACATCGGCGCCCTACAGGGACTGGCCAGTCTGTTCGTCCCCTACTCGGCGCCCCGGCAGAGCAGGCCAGCGCGACCACCGTCGAGACTCCGCGGCCCCTCGCGCGGCTCCAGGGGAGGCTCGAGGAACCCGAGGCGCCTGCGGAGGCCGATCCAGAGGGTGGCCCACCACCACCCGGCGGGGTACATCAGGTTCCCGAACGAGAGACGCCGACGCCGCAGGTCGCTCGCAGAACTGCTGAAGGCGAGGATTTTGACGGGAGATTCGGACATACAGAGCATCGCGACATCCACCGAAGGACAGGCGCCGGTGTTGTCGGACGAACCTAGCGACTGGAGTGCTGTGTTTGTCGACGACGACCAGCTCGAGGTCGAGCCCGCTCCTCCCAGTCAGTCCGCTGAGCACATCCCTCCTCACCAGGACTCCGGCGGATTCACTCCTCCGGAGAAGGTGGAGTACATCTTCACACCTATCCGGTTCTCCGCTCCGTTCGATCCGGAGAAGGGGCCGCCAGCCTTCTTCCGGAGGGAGCGCGTCACCAGCAACACCACCGAGTCTCCGCTGAAGGTGGTGCCGTACGTGGTGACGCCTCATCCTGTGGTGCTCCACGCCACTGCTGATGGTGCGCAGGTCATGTCACATCTGCGTCCCCCGCGTCCGAAGCAGTTCCCCACCACGCCACAGCCATGGGGACAGAGGCTGTCACGTCGGCCCGTGGTCACGAGCAAGGCGCCAGGGGTGATCGAACAGTCTCAGACACAGGAAACAACGGCAGAAAATGCTCCAACTTCTCAGTCAGAGGAATCGGGTGCAGATAAATCCACGCAACGTCCCGTGACAGAAGCGACATTAACGACAGAGCGGTCAGTGAATGAAGCGACCCAGACCACCCTCGACAGGATAGACGAGAGCGTCCCGGAGGATGCAAACAATGCAGATGAGTCCAAAGAAGGTTCAAGGAGAGTGGATGTGCCTGATGAAGACGTTACTATTGATGGCCAGAAGGGTAACAGGAAGAAGGGCTCCAGTCAAAAGAGCAAAAATGAACAGAAGAACGTAGACGCAGCTAAGCAGCCGGTGAGAAGGGTGGACACTCCCAGTCCCAAACCTAAACCCAAGCCACAGAGGCCAAAGGAGAAGCAATCTGTTCCTGACGTGGATCGACCAAACGAAGGTGAGACAGTTATACTTACTATCTACAACAGATAGAATTGTTCTTCTGACTGTCGATCAAGTGCTATATGGCTTTTAAGCGTTTAATTACGTGATGCTTTGTCACATACTTTTAAGTTTTTGAGCATTTTATGGTTCCTTTATAGCAGCCTAAAATAGAAAAAGCAATAAACAAAGCACCTGTTATACATGGGAAATGAGAATTATAGGATTATGAAGGGTTCTAAAATTCCACCTTCCGCATTTCACAAGGTTATTTTAGACCTTTTCATCTCATAGCTTAACGTGTCTTTTGTCTTCGCTCGGTCACAAAAACGTTAAAAGCAGTTCCACTGCTGTTGACTCGATGCTATAAATCTGAGACTGTAACCATGCGTCAGAAGTCCTCCAGGGGCTGACCCACGGACTGTGTATTTGTCTCCGCGGCATTTTGGCCGTAAATAGTCGACAGCAGACGCACACCACACACGGTCGGCGCCCTCGCCAGATTTATGGCCAGACTTGTGGCACGGCTGCAGGGGCGTATGTCAAACAGACACCAGCCAACAGAAGTAGAGGGAGCTGGATAGGGGAAAACTCGTGGCTTCTTGGAGGCAGTGGCGGCGCTGATTTTGGACGCTGATTTTTAAAATGAAAATTTTGCGAGTCACGTCTTCCCAAAGAAAAAAAAAATACTTCGTCTAGTTCCAAAAAGTCTATGATTGCATTAACAAAGTGAAGCTAGGCAAATCCTCAGTGTCAGTGAAGGTGTACGTATAGGCTTTGTCGGCTGTCGCAATTTTCCTGGACACTTTGAAGCCTGTCCAATGCTTCCTCGGTTTCGTCGTCCTCTGCTTAAATTTCAAATGATTCTAAAAGCACAGCGTGTCACAAAGTTCGCTCAAAATTCAGCCGGCGCATCAGACGGCGCAAATGTGCCAGTCATAAAGACGGCCGTCGGTTGTTGCCGTTGTAAATAGGCCTCTAAATGCGTCTGGCTGTCATCTATGTTACGTCCAGTACGGGTGAAGGCCGGCACTGAATTCCTCGTGAAACGCTGGCGACAAATGCTGGACAGTAAACGTTGCGTTCGGCGACGGCCAGCCATCTGACGTTGTCCCGACAATGGCGGCGACTGAATGGCGATGGATGACGCCATTTGCATAACAAGTAGATCACTGACCTCATGCCCGGAGGGCGGGGTGTGGACCGAGACTCGTGTTATGCTTCCGACTTCTGAGGCGAGCTATTGTGGGCTTATTTCAGGAGGCCCATGGCCATTTTATGAGATTAAACCGTCTAGATGAGATAACGGTCCACAGCCAATGGCTTGAGACCTCAAGTCATTTCAAATTGTGCTGGCTCCTGAAAGTGTCTGGTGTCTTATTATGTGTTTGATAGTAAAGTGTTAACACCACTCAGTAATATCACTAAATCAAGCAAGCCACGCTGATGAGTGGCAGGTCAGCCCTAGGTCCATCCCACAATGTCACATAGGCGTGCGGCGTGTCTCATTCATCTCTAACCCCCGACCTATTGCAGAGGGCTGCGGCCTGGCCGGGCCGGCCGTTCAGGCCCGCGTGTTTGGAGGAGAGGACGCTCTACCGGGCAGCTACCCGTGGGTCGTCTACCTGGTCTCTGACTCTCCAAAGTCCACCACAAAAACCACCTACTGCACGGGCAGTCTGATCTCCCGCCGCTGGGTACTGACGGCCGCACACTGCGTCGACTACGCTGTCACCACGACCATCAGCATGGGCTACTTGGACGTCTCCAAGGAGACCAACCTGACACTGAAGATGGAGTCGAACGACTACCGTGTGCACCCGTACTGGACCCGTCTGGCCAAGGAGCACGACGTGGCGCTGGTGCGACTGCCACGGGACGTCACGTGGACGGAGCACGTGCGGCCCATCTGTCTGCCGCGCCGCTCCGAGGTCGGAAACACGTTCGTGGAGGCACGTGCCGAAATCTGCGGATGGGGGAAGACATACAATGATCAGGTGAGTAGTGCCGGAGGGATTGGCGAGGTAGCTCACGAGAGACTGCAGATGAGGGATAATATCGATAAGATGGATATTTGTTGGATTTGGCTTTTATATATCAAATTCATTGATTAAAATTTATCGTTTCGTAGAAACATGTTTACTTAGCAGATGTGTCTGCTGCTTTTGTCGACGCTTACAATCGCAAAACGAGATGCAGCAAATGAGTGATGTTGTTCACTTTGGTTCTTTATATTTTTTTCCATGACTTATTATATTGCATCCCTTGACCCTTCGCGTCCCTTCGAACTCATGATGACCGTCTTAGTTTCAATGTGTCCTCGCAGAAGGGCGGCAGTTTCGTGCTGCAGCGGGCCGAGGTCCCCATCAGAAGCAACTGCGACTGCATGGCCTCGTTCCCCATCAACATGACACCGCTGAAGATCTGCTGCCACGGACGCTTCCACTCGCCCTGTCAGGTAACGGTTCACGGTGATCGGAAAATGGACCACGGTGAATGTAAAATATCCAAACCTTGACTGATGGGCGCTAAGCGGAACGAGACAGACACCAACTAGAATTGGGGCGCTTTCAGGAATATGACATTTAGGCCCTCACTCACTTGTGGGAAATGGCGATCAAATATGGCGAAACATCGTTGAAGTTTTTTATCAGCTTACGTCAGCCACTGGTTTCCAATCGTGTAGTGTCCACAGACATGGCTGAATACCAAAACTTCAGTGCTGTGGTATAACGAATTAGGATGACGGATACAATTTGAGACTGATTAGCGCTATTCAGCCAGGTATGCGGGCCGCTTTTTCTTCTGAAGTTCGATGCCCTCTGCTACCTTCCTTTTGTGTGACGAACCCCGCAGAGCGAATGTGTTTGTAGTATCGCTCACCGATCTTTTAGATTCCCGCTCAGTTGAGATCTGTAATGAGCGCGAAGCAGGAACTTGTCAAATTAGAGTCACTTTACTAATGCAGTTATTTGTATTGTAATCCCTTGAGCAGGTTCTGAAAGCGTAATTGCATGCCAATATTTAACATAGTTGTAGCGTGGTTGCGATAGTGGTCGAATGTGACAACATAAAAAGGCCTTTGCAAAACCCGTTCAATTGGTAGCCCTGTCGAACAACACCAAATAGCCCACTGTGTGCCCTGTGTCGACCGCTGACCCCCTGTCTGCCCTCAGGGCGACTCGGGCGGTCGTCCGCTGATCCCCTGTCTGCCCTCAGGGGGACTCGGGCGGTCGTCCCCTGATCCCCTGTCTGCCCTCAAGGCGATTCGGGCGGTGTGTGCCTTGTGCCGTCCGCTGACCCCCTGTCTGCCCTCAGGGCGACTCGGGCGGCCCGCTGCAGCTGCGGAGGCACGGCCGCTACACTCTACTGGGGGTGAGCAGCTTCACCAGCGCCCAGGGCTGCGATGTCGGTATGCCGGCCATCTATACCCGCGTCACGGCCTACCTGGACTGGATCGAGGATAACAGCGGCCTGGTGGTGCCTCTGTAGGATAACAGCGGCCTGGTGGTGTCGCTGTAGGACTATGAAGGTCTGGTAGTGCCGTTCTGAGGACAACAGCGGTCTGTTGGTGCCTCTGTAGGAAAACAGCGGTCTGGCGGTGCCTCTGTAGGAATATGAAGGTCTGATGGTGCCGCTCCGAGGGTACTGCGGACTATTATTGCCACTCTCAAGGTACAGTAACATAGTGGTGCCGCTGTAGGACAAAAAAAAAGGCCTGCTGATGCCGGTACTTATGAGGATGGCAGAGGGAACGGGGTCAATCTTAGCATGATGGGAGTGGAAATATAGGATTAACGAAGGCCTGATAAAAGACTGGTGTAATGTGCAAAAATCTTTTGTTTGTTTTTCGAGCAAAGCACAAGGAAAGAATTTGTCGTCGGATACTGCTCATTTTGTTATTAATTTGGTATTGGGCTACATAAGAGACTTTGTTAGATATATTTTGTATTGTGGAAATGTCGTGTGGTGTCTTTTGTTGTGTTTATCAATCGTTTATATCAACCGTTTCCTCTGTTTTATTGTGGGCGCATCGTTGTATGGTGAGAGCCGTCCATATTGTGAGAGCCGAGATGACGGGACGTTTAGGGTGCTGGTGGCATTGGGTGGCGTTGTTCGCGAGTTTGTTTTTACAAATGCCACTGTTATGTTTTAGTGTTTTGGCTCAATGGACTATGGAGTGAGTAGAGGCTAATGAGGGTGTCAAGTAAATGTGCTGTCAGGTTGATGTGTGCTGCTTCTGAAAGCACTGCGTCGGCTATTGTTTTGCGAAATGCTCAATATACCAGTTCGATAAATGTATTAGTGTCAATGTATTAGTGTCAATTAGCTGGTGTATGAGTGTCAATTTACAGTGCGCTTGAAAAATGTTCTATGTCTTCGAATGTGGAGATATGCCTTATTGTGCCTTTTGGACGAAAGTCATATTGAACACCCTCCAGGACTGGGAAACAAGTAGGTAAACATGACACTGAATCGAAAAAATTGCAAGGAGCCCCTGTATATGCTCCTGAGGTCATCTCAGGTCATAAAAGGTCTTCACCAGGCTTTTGTGAATAACGTTTGCATGCTGGTGCATGCTGGATAAATGAAAATGCCTTGAATGTGCTCAGCTCAACGATGCCGGATGCGCATCGACTGATGTATCGCAACATAACTTTCTCCGATAAGGTCATGACCTAGACCCTAGCTCAGATTTTTAAAATGGCCTTTTAAGGCCAAATTATAGTTCATTCGACGCGTCTCGACGAGAGGAATGCGATTCAGTAATTAGTTCTGCCGGTCAAAGTTTCCTGTCAAAAGTCTTTTTTTTTTTTGCAGAAAAGATTATCCGTTAAAAGTCTATTTTGAGAATGTTTTCTATCTAAGACGAAACCAGAGGTCAAATCAAATCTAAGGAAGTATTTTAAAAGAAACATTAAATGAGCTATCGAATGCGTCTTTTTCGCGGCTCTGTAGCTCTGCTCGTTCCCGAGCTATGCACCGATCTGCCATAAAATGCTAAAATATGCAAAACTTGACATTGGATGAGCTCCTGTGACCTAGCCTTTGATCTGACCGAAACAATGACAGAGGTACCTACTTTCTTCATGATTTGTGGCGCTATTTTGAGTGCGCTATCCCCGGCCCGGTGCGGTTGGCGCCGAGCACCGCCTGGCGCGGTTTTATGACAAAATATTCATTTTTCTAGTACGGCAGAGTAACATGTAAGACCGGTTTCATGGAGCGCCACTAAGGAACAGGCACGTAGCCAGGGTTTTGCTCAGGGAGGGGCCACAGGTCACGGCCTAGTGTCGTGCCCCCTCCAAAAAAGGAAAACTCCTCGGATTTGGTCCATTATGTTTGGGGGTGTGGTGCAGCTGTTCTTATTTATCTTATTTCTTATGTTATTAATTTATTTTTCGTTTTCAGGAGGACCATGGCCTTCGCCCCCCCCCCCCCGCTTGGTTACGTCCCTACTAGGGAACGTCAACTATGGGTGGTTAGCTTTTGCATCTATGCTATGTTCGTAGAGATTTTAGGACTAAAGTACGTATCGCTAAAGTACGTAGGACAAAAGTAGGGGAAAGTGGGGTATGACGGGCATGTTAGTTTTGCGGGTCTGTACCTCTGAAGTCTTTTCTTCGATTGCTTCACCAATTTAGCACAACCATCTTCAGGCATTTTTCTTTCAGTGCCCCTTTGACACCTAAGGTCTAAATCCAATACTTTTCAATTGAGAGTGTTTTTAGCAAGACCCTGCAAAAACCCGTCTTACCCCACCGGGGAGGGTAAGACGGGCACTGATGTTGGGGCAAGACGGGCACAACGTTAGTTTGAACTTCTTTACATATTTACTGCCGAATAATTATGCTAATACATCTTACACATCTGGCTTTTGATCTTACAGTCAATATTGTAAGGTTCGTAGCATCGCACGGCTACTTATAGGCGTAATGGTATTGATCGATGTAATGAAAAAATTAAACAAATTCAAAGCTGTCTATTTAAATAATTTCGATGGAAATGCGTTGCAAATGATGTAGAACAGCGTAAGTTAGCTTAAAATAACAATATCAGATGGTTTGCATTCCTTTCATCATTGTTGCCCGTCTTACCCCATTCGGCTGCCAATAAGGATATCACACCGCCTCCGGGCACCAAATTAAAGGATTCATTCGCCAGCATACACATTTGGATGACACCCTAAGACGAAACTCTCATCAAATTTCCAAAACAAAATATGAAACAGCGAGGTCAGAAAACACTACGAAACACGATAGTTCTGCTTAGAGTGCAAGGCACGTTTTTAGCTTTTCCACAATTTTTCAAAAACTATTTAAGATGCGTACCTCTGCCTTCACCTCACAGCAAAGAACCACACGGCCGATTACCAACCACAACAAGAGGTTGCTAGCGCCAACGGTTTGGGCTAGAGGGCCGGTGCCCGTCTTTCCTACCCCGCCCGTCTTACCCCACTTTCCCCTACGTATGCAAATGTTCGTACGCAAATATACGTACGCGATAAAGTTCGTATGCCAAAAGTACGTACGCAAATGTTCGTACGCAAAAGTACGTATGCAAAAGTACGTAGTGCATAAAGTACGTATGTCAAAAGTACGTACGCAAATGTTCGTACGCAAAAGTACGTATGAAAAAGTACGTAGTGCATAAAGTACGTATGCCAAAAGTACGTACGCAAATGTTCGTACGCAAAAGTACGTATGCAAAAGTACGTAGTGTAAAATGTACGTATGACAAAAGTACGTACGCAAATGTTCGTACGCAAAAGTTCGTATGCAAAAGTACGTAGTGTATAAGTACGTATGCCAAAAGTACGTACGCAAATGTTCGTACGCAAAAGTACGTATACAAAAGTACGTAGTGTATAAACTACGTATGCCAAAAGTACGTACGCAAATATTCGTACGCAAAAGTTCGTATGCAAAAGTACGTAGTGTATAAAGTACGTAAGCTAGAAGTAGGGTATAGTAGTGTAAGTTGAGCCACTTTTTCTTTATTGCTGCTCTGTTGCCATACTACAGGGAACTCATGACAAATTCATATACCAAATAATATAGCTTTGTCCATTTCGCCCATTTACTCATCGAGAAATTTTGCTATGCCTTGTAACAAATGCTCATTAAATAAAGAATAAGAAAGGTATTACATATTGATCAACTTAACCCAAGGGTAGGGTACGTACTTAATACCCTACGTACATTTGCTATACGTACTTTTGTCCGTGACGTACTTTTGTCCACACGTAGGGTAGACCGGGGCAAGTCGCCCCGCTGAGGTAAAACGCCTCACCGATGTTTCTCGGAACTGGCAGGGTTCTGGGGAAAGATTCTCTCTTCTGTTAAGCCGGCCGGGCCCGGGGGGTAATTCCAACCACCGCAGCCCGGGGAGGGGCGTTTTTCGCCCCCCTGTCTAACTCCGTAAATAAGGGAGCTACGCACAGGGGTGAAAAAATGTCTCAGGCTGTCACCGACGGAAGGTCCAGCTGACTCACGCCTAATTTTGACATTTGAGCAGTAGCTAAATGAAGTTTGAGATGCGCTGAGGACCTCAAGGTACGCCCATCATGAAATAATCAATTTTCGACAGTCACAACTCACATCATTGTGCTGCAGTTATTGGAATCACAAACCACTGACACCATAGGCGGCGGAACGGGGGGGGGCACCGGGGCACCGTGCCCCTTGATTTTGGCATTTTAACATTAGCCCTATAGGCGTTGCATGGAAAGAATGGTACCAAAAGTCGGCAGTGCCCCCCCCCCCCCCTTAATTGAAGGTGTTCCGCCGCTACTGACTGACACGTACAGGGTGGGGCAGCATAATCGGGAATGCTTTTTGGGCTCTGGTCATGAGTAGGCATGGCATTATTTTGATAAATTATATCATGGCAATGAAACGCCCAAAAGTTGTGCATCATCTGACATGACTACATCCATGAGCATGCAACTTCCTGGAAAAGAGCAGCAAAATAGTTCGACGGTGCTCCAAGTGCTTAGCGCGCGCCCATAGACACTAATGTTAAACGAGTAAAACAAGAACATTTTGTTTAAAACAATGCCATTCCACGTAAAGGTTGCTGGACAGGTCAACGTGTTATCACGGACGATAAGGATTGTGTGGGGATACTTAGGACAAAAAGTTAACGTAATCGTCGTAAAATAACTCTTAGCAGAGGACATACAAGATGACTCACTTGAATATAAGGAAGAAGCTCTTGAGCATATTAAAAAGAAACAATGTTCAAAACTTCAGCGACCAAAAATCTTATCACCGACTGGAATACGATAAAAAAGAATGGCATGCCATATAGGGGATTGTATCGAGAATATTGCAGCGGTCATGCAAAGTAAACATCCTGTTGAGGTGATGGACCTATGGGTGGTCTTCAAGGGAGGTGCACTTGGTGCACCCTACTTCATCGAGCCCGGATAAAACGAGCACCTCTGGTAAATACATCCACACTCTGGCAGACTCACGTGGAGTCGTCGGAAGAGAGGATCACTGACGGTCCAGATCACGTCTTACGAGGACTCTGTCCGTGCTGGTACTGCAGTGAGGACGACATGTTATTGTGTAGGGCACCTCCACCTGAGATGAACCAAAAACTTCTGGTCCTTCAACTCCGCCGATTTAAATCCGACCAAATTCTTTATATGGAGCGTTTTTTGGTAGAAGTTTAATGAACAACTTATCATCAGTAAAAACGGTCTTCAGTGCAAGGTACGAAGCTGATGGGCGATCATGGACAAGCAGGAGGCTGCACGTGCATGCGCGTGCTTTTGGACCCGCCTTGAGAAGGTCATCGACGCGAAGGGCGGTCAAATAGGATGAGGGATAGGTAAAAGGTGACCGATTGATGGGATGTTGTTAAAATAGTGCTTGGAGCTATATTTTTTAATTCATGACCAAATAATCCCGTTTGATATTTATTCCCGATTATGCTGCCCCACCCTGTAGATAAAAGGAAGAAGCTGTAGAGGAGCGCTGAGTGTATTGTCCATTCAAAGCGGAAGCAAATTTTCGTTCTATTTAATGCATGGCTTGAGGTCGTTTCGACACGAAGAGAAACATCACAAACAAGATTATCATCCACAATTCCATTTAGGTGAATGTTTTCGAGAAAAGGAGATGGAACAACGGTTGATCATAAATCATAATCCTCAAAACACGGGTGGCTCTCGTCGAGTGACGTTAGCATGCTCCTTCTAAAACTTGGTTCGGTTAGAGAGTAGTTGATTAGTATGTAGCACCAACAACCTCAGCTTGTTCGAGACACCAATAGATACCTACG